GAGTAGTTAAGTAACATTTTGTTACTGCATCCATTTAGCCAGGTATAATTAGCATGTCTACATACATGTCATTTCTAATGTGGTCCTATGTGGTATGTTGTAGGACAGTGAAGTGTCTGACACTGACCATGTACCAGTGCCTGAGAACACTGGTATGGAGGGGGAGAACGCACCTCTTTACTGTATTTGTCGGAAACCAGACATCAACTGCTTCATGATGTAAGTATATATCAGTTTTCTATTTGCAGTACGCGCAGTAGGGGTGGGCGCTAGCTTCAGCAATGTTATCAGAGATTTTTTTTTTTAAATGAAGATCTTCTATTTCGAGAAAACTACCAATAAGGATATATGCACAGATCTAGAAAACAATACTGTAACATTTTATTGATGCTTGCAGTTTGGAGGAAGCAGTATTTGCAAGTGTAACTAAATTCCAGGCATTTTCCATCCTTCTTTTCCTATCAGCTTTTTTCTAATTGTCAGTGTGAACCAAGGTGTCAGCAGCAGCATTATAGTGCAAAAGTAGTGACCCAGCATAGATCAAATGTAAGCACAAAAGTAGCCAAGGTAGTGTTTTTCCTGGAAATTTTAAGTGAAAGGATAAAGTAACTGCTTACCACTTTAGTTTAACAATGATTAATGAAATGTAACCGTGTAACTCATCAGCAGTCTGCACAGTATGGTCACATATTAAAACTGAAGAATATGTTGTACTTGTTGTAGTGTTTCATCATGGGTCCAGTTTTTACCCAGGTGCTTTAAGCCCTTCTTTACCCTCATGTAACACCAACAGTAATTTCCAACCACTATTTCCTGTTCCTGTCAGTCAAACAAACAGACGACAAACATCTTCTATAAACAGGAATAATGTCATTTTATCGGATTAGAAAACATCTAATCTAGCGTTGATATTACACTGCTGTTTAGTGTCTGGCTAATCTCAGTGTCACCAAAATATCTGCCCTACATGTCAAACAATGAGAGAACTTGAAACAGTAACATCACCCAGCAGCTTATTTTAATTAGTGCTAACGTTTTGTTTGCTGGCTAACATTGCTATTATTATAGTCACAGTTAATTGACTTTGAATAGCTTTATTTCAAAAGTAATTTTACAATTTCACAGCCATTTAGCTGTGTTAACTGTACATGCTGTAGGTCATAAGGCGTGCATGGATCATTTTTATAATCAGCCTCTTATCTTTTGTCCACCACAGGCTTTGCCATGATAAATTGGTCAGTTGACAACCAGGAGCCGTACACCTTAACCTCAGAGGCCAGGACATCCAGGGGCAGTGTGAACACGCACTTGTTTAAATGGGACGCAAGACGGACTATAGAGGGCCACCCCCTTGCCAGACAACCAAGTGCTGTCCCTGTCCACGGCCAGTGTGAGAAGGACTCTCACTAAAGTCAACCCACACAAAGCTGCTGGACCAGACAATATACCTGGACGCGTGCTCGGAGCCCGTGCTGACCAGCTGACTGATGTCCTAGCGGGCATCTTTAACATCTCCCTGAGTCAAGCTGTTGTGCCACAGTGCTTTAAAACCACCACCATCATACCTGTCCCAGACCTTCCCAAAGCCTAATTCCACAATGATTGCCTGAGCCTATTCTTGTTAAATGATGAAAAACTCAAAGGCACGTTTGGGCAGTGGATCTGTGTGAAATCAGCAGCTTGCAAAACTAAATCAAAATGTGTGCTATTGATTCTAAAAATAGAAATCACAATAAAGTTCAACATTTACTAAAACCGCCATTCAGTCATCTGAGAGTCTTTACTCATGAAATTATAACGGTTAGATGAATGTATATGCAGTGATTTACTGATCAATGATAAAAGGGGAGATTTATGCAATAACGAAGACTGTCATGAAAAGTATTTGGCATCTGATCTCCTGTAACCTGCGGAGCTAAGCTGTTTTACCAGCTCTGCTCTCTGATTTTTCTTTTTTCTTTTATGAAAAAACACAAGTTGTCAAAGTTATTTGTTTGCAAATGTATTTCAGAAATATCGACATACTTTTTTTAATCAGCAGAAACTTTATGTCAGTAGTGCAAAAACCTGCACTGATCTGACCTCATTTCTTCCTCATCCTGATTCCTGACCTGGGAAGGGAGAGAAATATTTGTTTTTGTTTGTCTTCTTGTTTTATTTAATTCCTTGTGGGATTTGGATCCAACACGTAAAGTATGCATATTATGCACACACACAAACACACATGCAGCTATTACCCATTTCTTGTATTCTTGAATAAAGACATTGATTTGACACATTTAATTAGCGGCCAATTGTTTTTATTGTTCAATTATTAAGAAAAAAGAAAAGGTGGGGGTGGGTGGGATGGAAAGTAAAGGGAGAGAGGAGAGAAAACCCCAACAATCCCCTCTGAGCAAGCACGAGGCGACAGTGGATAGGAAAAACTCCCTTTAAAGGAAGAAACCTATGACAGAACCAGGCTCTAGAGGGGGCAGTCAACTGTCGGGACTGGTTGGGGGGTGATTGTGAAAAGAGGGGAGGGAGATGGGAGAGGTGTTAGTAGTTAAGGGGAGGGGGGGGGAATTAAGCTGGAGCAGAGGTGGGGGAAGAAGAGGTGACATTGGCAGTAGTGAAAGAAGGAGTGTTCTTCCTCCAGAAGAAGCAGAAGCGTTTTTTCTTTTTCTTCAGCTGCTCTTCCACGAGCACCTTTTTCTCGAGGATGAGGATTTTCAGCTCCTCGATTGTTTCGGTGTTTTGCTTCTGCAGCTTGTTGCATTTTTTCTCCACTTCTTCTATTTCAGCTTGTTTTTCTTCCAACCTTTCTTTCAGCACTTTAGATGTTGCCTCCTGTTTTTGCAGTTTTTCATTTTCTCCTTCCAGCTCAGATGCTTTGAACTTCATTTTGTTGTAAAGTTCTTGCAGGTTTTGGTTTTTCTTCTCAAACTCCTGGAGAAGAAGTTTTTCTTCTCTCTGCTTACTGACCAGCTGTTCTCTCTCTTGAAGCAGGTCTTGATATTTGTGCAGTGTCTCATCGAACTTTACCTGCAGCATCCTGTCGTTTCCCTCCATGAGCTGGAGTTGGCACTCCATGTCTCCCTGCTTTCTGTCCAGCTGCTCTTTCTCTTGAAGGATTTCTTTATTTTGTCGCAGAGCTTCATCAAGCTTTCCTTGCAAGCTTTCATTTTGTTGCTTGATGCTCTGAAGACTGGAATCCATTTCTTTTTGTTTGATTTCTTGTTGCCTTTTCTCTTGGAGAAGCTTCTCATTTGCTTGCTCTGTGCGATCAAGCCTTTTTTTGTCCACATTGTACATTAGCTCCATGTCTCGGAGCTTGGAGTGCAGCCCTCTCTTCTTCGTGCTGTCTTGCATCTTCTCTTGGAGGAGTTTTCTATTTTGTCGCAGAGCTTGATCAAGCTTTCCTTGCAAGCTTTCAATGTGTTGCTTGATGCTCTGAAGCTTGGAATGCATTTCTTTCTCTTTTAACTCCTTTTGCCTTTTCTCTTTGAGAAGCTTTTCATTTTCTTGCAGTGTGCGATCAAGCCTTTTTTTGTCTACACTGTACATTAGCTCCATTTCTTGGAGATTGCTGTGCAGCCCTCTCTTCTTCATGCCATCTTCTTTCTTCTCTTGGACAAGTTTTTTATTTTGTTGCAGGGCTTCATCAAGCTTCCCTTGGAGCTCCTGGTTCTTTTTGCCCATGTCATGGAGATCCTGTTGTTTCTCCTCAATAATAGCTTCCTTTTCTTGAAGCTGGTATGACAACTTTTTTAGTTCAGCGCTCTTTCGCTCATTTTCCTCCATCAAGAACTTAATCTTCTCTGTGTTTCTGAGCGCTTCATCCTCCATTTCTTCCAAACGCTTTTCCTCTATTTCCACTTGGTCACACCAAGGAAGAGAGGAAATGGAAGAGTCTAGTGGCTCATCCCAGGGAAGAGCGTATGGGTCAACTTCTTGTCCCTTTGGATTTGTTTGAGACATGTTGGGTCTGGATACAGTTACAACTGCAAAGGATCCAAATATTTCAAAAGGCTTTTCTGGCGAACGGTTCAATGCTGCACACATCAACGCTGCGAGAAACGGACTAAAAGTCGTTGCTCTTCACCCCTATTTATAGGTTTTAAGGGTCAAAGGATCAAAGGAAAGAATGGTGGTAAGATTCTACGTGTGTGACGTCATAATTCTGTAAGGCAATGAGGTTGTCACGTGATATTTTTGGAGGAGGGCATTTTTCAACTTGGACAAATTATCAATAAAGTTTCAATCTCTGTTATTTTCCCCAAAAAACGTGTTGTCGCAATAATGTTTTCTACTGTAATATGTCATTTCTAATGTGGTCCTATGTGGTATGTTGTAGGACAGTGAAGTGTCTGACACTGACCATGTACCAGTGCCTGAGAACACTGGTATGGAGGGGGAGAACGCACCTCTTTACTGTATTTGTCGGAAACCAGACATCAGCTGCTTCATGATGTAAGTATATATCAGTTTTCTATTTGCAGTACGCGCAGTAGGGGTGGGCGCTAGCTTCAGCAATGTTATCAGAGGTTTTCTTTTAAAATGAAGATCTTCTATTTCGAGAAAACTACCAATAAGGATATATGCACAGATCTAGAAAACAATACTGTAACATTTTATTGATGTCATGAGCCTGTGCCTTCTCGGCTGACTCTGTATGGCTACAAGTGTTTTTGTTGTGCTGCATCTCTCTCCCCTCCCGCGCACTGCGCTCTACCGGGGCGGAGTCATGACGGCTCCAGCCCCTGGCTCGGACACCTGCAAACAATCATCTCATCCACTTCTTAAGGCGGCTGCTGAGAGTGCTTCTTCGCTGGATTATTGTGTAACACTCGTCAGTGTCATCGCCAATCTGAGCTTTTTCCCCGAGTTTCTTTCGTGCCGCAACTTACCTGTTTTTCCTCCCTGTGTCAGATTTCTCGCCAGCCTGAGGACCGCCGTTTGGTGAGCTAAAAGCCGGAGTCCGAGCTACCTGAGCTCCAGTGAAGGATTGTGTACATAGCCATCCCCTTCCCGTGCCTGTGTTCCCCGGAGACCCTCTTCCTGTGCCCCCTCACCTGTATATATCCGCACCTGTATCCCTCTCTTTAGTTATTAGTTTCCAGATGTGTGCAGTTGCTCCAGTCTTACTGACAGTATACTGTTTCAAACACCAGTGCCAACATTTTATTTTTTAAAGCTTAGTATGATTCTGCACCAAGACTTGTGGCCTGTTGCTCGGTAACTTATTGTCTGACTACATTAACTACAGTTCATAAACATCATTCATTTTGTCCTACTTATTTTATTCAGGTTGTATTCCAGCTGTCATAGGGCAAAAGTACACCCTGGACAGGTCGCCAGTCTGTTGGAGGGTTATTAGAGAGACTCAGACAACCACTCACACCAACAGCCAACTAACCTAACCCCGCGCATGTCTTTGGAGTTCAACACCAGTCTGGCCGAATCACAGATAAGCAGGGTGTCTGTGCTGCAGAGCACAGCTGTGTCAGAGACTCTCGACATCAATGTAGCGTTAAGGTTGGGGGTCAGGACACGGAGCGATGGGTGCACTAACGTAATGAAATTATGAGAGTGATCGTCATTGTCTCTATGCTGTTGCGCTCTTATTTGTATTAGTGAAACCATATATCTATTCTAGCTCACCCTAAAACTGTGGAGAAAATTGATCTGTTAATAAACGTGGTCAATTATTTGGGAATGTTCTGGCAAGAACGTCGCATTCTTCTGGTGGGGAAACTAATAATAATAATACATAATAATAATAATACATAATAATAATAATAAATATAATCCCCGGTAAAGTCAGTTAGCAAACACTACTGGCATGTAATGCCAATGACGACCATTTCACAAACTGTCGAAAATGCTCAAAATGTTGTTGGCACCAAAAGTGAAGGGCTGACAGTTGTGTTTATATGAAAAACTGCAAAAACAGGAGGCAACATCTAAAGTGCTGAAAGAAAGGTTGGAAGAAAAACAAGCCGAAATAGAAGAAGTGGAGAAAAAAAGCAACAAGCTGCAGAAGCAAAACACAGAAACAATCGAGGAGCTGAAAATCCTCATCCTCAAGAAAAAGGTGCTCGTGGAAAAGCAGCTGAAGAAAAAGAAAAAATGCTTCTGCTTCTTCTGGAGGAAGAACACTCCTTCTTTCACTACTGCCAATGTGGCAGATCAATGGCTTTATTCAAGAATACAAGTAATGGGTAATAGCTGCATGTGTGTTTGTGTGTGTGCATAATATGCATACTTTTTTTTTTTTTTAATGATGTCACTTCCGGTTTCAGACAAGAAATGGCGGACATGAAATAGTTGGTGTTGATGTCTTTTTCAATGTGGGAAGTGTTATGAACAGCTGATCGGATCGGCAAAGCCTGTTTCTGGAATATTATGTTTTTGTTTCTGCAAGCGCTTTTTATTAGTGATGGGCAGATGAAGCCCCATGAAGCACTGAAGCTTTTCATCCAATTGGTTCACCCCAACGCGAAGCTTCATGAAGCTTCATTTGCTCTAGCAGGACACCTACTGGACGTAAAAATAATAGCTGGCATGAATTTGAAGAGTGTGGCATTTTGCACACAGCCTGTAAATGTCAACAACAAAAGGAGTGTGTAAAACATGTATATTGTAGTGATGGCAGTATACTGTGTATATTTATAGTGGCAGTATGGGAAATGATTATTTGGAAATGCTTGAAATGGAAATGATCATTTACTGTGAGGTGAGGTGTGGTTGGGGTGTGGACAGTAGTTGTGCTTTTGTAACGTTGAGGTATGGACAGCTACACACTGAGGCTTTGAGCCTCAGTCCTGCCTGTTCACATTTTATTCTGTAAAAACTAAATTTTCACTGCTTTTATGACCTTTTTAGTGGGGAGAACATAGCTAGGATTTAATGATTTAACAAATCTTTTGAATCCTTTGTCCTCCACAATGCTAAATGGCTGGGAGTCCTCAATCACCATGCTGACCAGGTCTTCATCTATTTGAGATTGTTCTCCTGAGGAAAGACAATAAAGATAAAGCACAAATATAAATATCACACACGTAACTTATAACAGTTGTATAATATTGTTATATCATTTAGTAACATTACTGCATCCTATATTATCATTGCATTTGATGGCTCACCTGGTCTTGCTCCACAATCGGTGTTCCCCTTATTCTCATGCAAAGCTCTGTAGTGCCTAAGCATGGATGAGGTGTTGTTGTTATATCCCAGCTCCCTGGCACATAGCAAACACTTCACCTTGTACAAAAGTCAAGACAGCTCAACATAAATTGTATTGCACCATCAGTATCATGAAAATACATCTTCTGTAGAAATTTACATACCTTGTTGGGAGGAATAAGATCAAAATGTTCCCACACAGGGGAGGACATCCTCCTCTTCTTAGCTGGCTCCATTCTCTCCTGACTTTCTCTCCTCACTCTCATAAACCTCCAAACGGTCTCCAAACTCTCACTAACCGCAACTCTCCATCAAACACCCACATTTTTGAATGAAGTCTGAGGGGTTTATATCGCTGTCATATCTCGCGGCAAAGTTCGAACCACTTCATGAACCAGTCACGTGGTACAGCCGGGCAGCGAGGCTTCGGACGTCATCATTTTCAGCTCCTCCCATAAATGAAGCAAGCCTCGATACGCGCTTCGCGGAAACGCCCCCTCCATTACTCGACACACGCTCCGAAGCCTCGATACAGAACGTCCCATCACTAACTGTTATGCAATTTTTGCAAAGCTTTATGTGGAAGGAAACCGTGACCGAGGACAAGCTGATGGCATAAGATGTAAGTACAACTCCTCAGGTTTCATATGCAAAACAAATTATTGCGCTAGCTTACGCGGTTCTGGTTCTACAGGGATTTAAAGGGTTAACAATAACAATGTATTGAATAATGACTTTAAAAAATAATATAAAATAGTGTGCAAATACTGATAACAGTGCAAATGTTTGCAATATAAGAAATAAATGAAAAATGTAAACATCTATGTTTAGTGAACTTTGCAGTGTTGCTCTGTGGTGCAGCTACGACACTGTAGCAAAGTTTACACACTATGTCTACTTGATCCACGTCTGACTCCACGAACCCATAATGTTTCCACACCACTGAAGTTGTTTTTTTTACCTCTCTTTTCAACCAATGGCAGTCACTCTCCTCTCCAAATAACTTCTGCTTAGCTTTCCGAGCTTCCCTTGGGTCCTCTCAATTGTTGTGACACGTGTTCGAAATGCAGAGAGGAGCGCTCGATTTGACACATGGAGCAGCGCGAGAGTAAAGCACGAGGGAGGTGCTAATAATCGGCTCAGTCATTTTTAATGATGGTTGAAAGCCCAGATCGTAATCGTGATTAAAATTCGATTAATTGAGCAGCCCTATTTCTCTGATCTGGATAGTGCCCATCCCATAAGGTATCTATAAGCTGGTAGTCTACAAAACCAATTTACAGCATTGGAATGCACAGTAGTACCATCTCCAAATTTCCATATAATGGGAGATCTCAGAGACACACCATGAATTGGGAGTTCCAAAAAGATGACTGTTTCCTCACCCTGTCAGCACTTAGGAAGGATAGGCAGTCCTCCACAGATTTGCAGTCAGAGTTTGCAGGACTTGTCCCTTGTCCTAGGCCTGCCCTTTACCATTGTGCTGGGGTCAGCAAAGTGTGCACTGGAACCTGAAAATGTTGAGGAATGTTATGTTCAGTGATGAGTCCAGATTCTGTCTGTGACAGTCAAATTGTGGACAAGATGTGGAGAACACTAAGCTGATTGCTGCACTTACAGGGTAACAACTTTTGGTGAAGGGAATGTGGTGGTGTGGGATGGCATCTTGCTCACTGGAAAAACAAGGTCGACATTAAAGGAAATCTCAATTCAGAGAAAATTGAGATGAGATCTGCAATCAGTGGCAATCCTGTATCTCCACAGTCTGAGACTGAACTCTATCCTCCAAGATGACATCCCAGAGACTGGAGTTTATCGGGGAATACCTCCAGAATTTGGGAGTGAAGATGGAATGACCTGCCCTCAGTCCTGGACTCAAACCCACTGAACACTTGTGGGATCAGCTTAGGCATGCCAGAGTAACCAACACAACCACACTGGGGCTACTGTTGTGCCTGTGTATGGTGCTTCCACATGCAACTGAGGCTGTCTGATAAATGAATAAATTATTAAATGTATTGTCTTGTATGTCTTGATTCTTTAGACTTCAACCATCCAATCCAATGAACACAACAAACAAGAGTCAAGCAGAGAATAAGCTGTTTGGCAGAGAAGATTTAGTAAGTTTTTTTATTGGCACACTCCACAACTCTGCTGCTCAACCTACACGTGCATTTTCCTTACAGATGTGACACCATTTAAGGGGAAATACACAAGCTTTCAACAGTATAAGGTTTATTGCCAAGAAACATTGTTACAACAAAGAAATAATCAATTTCCTTACTTTTTGGTCTAATTTCATATCAGCTGGAAATGAATCCTTTAATGACTCAAAGCAGTCATTTGATTTGCTGTTTAATAATTTTATAAGATTGTCAATATTGATAATAAGGAAGTAAGAGAACAGAGGACAGTGTTTGCTGAGGACTGGATATAGAGATCAAGAGTGAAAGGTTATTTTCAATCAAATGACTAAAGCTGAAGAGTCAGGAAATAGGCAGAACAGAAAGTAGGAAGATTGGGGTTGCTCTAGATACACGATCCCAGGAGCCTCAATGACCCAATACTTAACTTGAAGTAACAAAAGAAAGAGAGAAGTGAGAGCAGCAATGAAAGCGATGACAGTTGTTCATTCCCCTTAAACATCTGATAGTAAAAGTCACCTTGTTCCCACCTCTCGGACCCAAACTCACATCCTGCAGCTTATGTCGCACAGAAACTCATTTAGCAGACCTTTCCTCAAGTAACTGCTGGTGCATTTTAATCAATATGTTTCAATTTCTGGAGTCTCTGCAAAATTTTAAGAAAAAAAGCTCTAAAAATAGTAAAAGATCACAAAAATCAGATCAATGCAGTGCTGCTATTAGAGCTGTATGTAGAATGTCAATAGGAAGAGTTGTTTGTCTTGGTAGAGTACACTGACATCATTGGAAGCATTGTAGGCAGATTAGCAACTTTCCATGCTGGCATCTGAAATTCCTGTCTTGGTGCAATACTGAAGGCACAGTGGAAAAAAACACTGAGGGTTTTTTTCGAAGGGCAGGTGCTCTGTCTACATTTTTTTCTTGTCTAATCGTCACGTTAGAGCATAGAATCTGTTACACAACAGAGGATGGGCATAAATGACAGGGGCAGCCGAGTACACTAATGGATGCAACACACCAAAACCTCACTGATCTTCAAGCAATCTTTCGCAACTGGCACATTTTAACCACAGACAAGACAAAACACTTGTAGATGTGCTTCTGTTTTTTCGGGTTTTTTTCACACAGTGATGATAAAAAAAACTTCATTGCAACAGTGGCACTGCTAGATAACCCAAACCCTAACGTGATGTTTTTGACGACTTCATGTTGCCATGTCTGGCCCCGTTTACATCAAGGTCAATTAAATTAAGCAACAGTTGACAGCTCTTTGTGTTAACAAGCACACACTTTTCAGTCTTGAAATCTGAAAAAAGGCAAAAGAGCATGCAGAGAACAGAGAGAGAAAAAATAAGGAGAGAAAAGGGGATGGAAATGAGGACAGTTAGAAAAAGGCAGATTTAGTCTGTGGCATGTCTCTTGATGAAAGGACCATTTCTCTCCTTTTTTAGGGATTGTTTTTTCGTCCCTCCCTTCACTCCCACCGCCCCTCTTGTCTGTTCCTCTCATTACTCACTGGAGTGTTTGCACTGGCTCAGCTGGGATTGCAGAAATGGCCACCACAACAGGAACCGTCTGGGTCTCCAGCCTGCTTATATGGCTAATTCACACATAAAATCTGAAGCCTTCGTAGGCAAACATTTGCTGTGTCATAACATGCTTCTACTGTTTCTTTTTTTGTTTTTCTGTGAACTTGCATAACCCACACAGACTGTAGCCGAAGTGGAATTCCCACAGTCAATAATGCTGTTTCTGATTTCAACTTTAAATCACTTGTTGATTTTTTTTTTCACCTTTTCCAGTGTACTGGGCAGACCTTCACAAACATCACTTGACTTGTAATATATCAGAAAACCGTGCAGCACCCTGACCTACATTGCCTCTCTCTGAGGGTGGTGATGGTGACATTGTTTTTTAATTATTGCTTGTTCATGTCAAGAAGAAAATCTTGCTTCCCCATTTTGATGTAGTTCCTGTTAAACCTGAATTCTGGCTGTTACAAAACAGAGGGAGGTGTGACTTAAGTACATATTCACTATTATGACTAAGAGGCAGGTTAACGTAATTGGAACGGCAGGTAGGAATGACTGATCAAAAGTCCATAATAGTTTTGTTGGGAGATTTTTTTTCTTTCTTTCTTTTTATTACAGCACTGGTGCAGCATGAGGTCATTGGTGAATATAAACAGTTTTCCAGGAAGTAAGAGTAGTGGAAAGAAGTCGTCTTTTCCTGTCACAATCTGAAGAAGTTCTTTTTCTTTTATAAGAGATTTGAGTGTCTGTTTTGACTGATGACCAGCGTGATAAAACTTTCTTTGATATTAAAATCCTATCACACAGTTGAATTTAAATCACTCTAAGCTACATAACATATCCTATAAGTTTATAATAGAGTGATTTAAAACCAACCATATTATAATGTGGTGTCCTGCCCACCCCCTCGCCCCTTAAAAAAATCATAATATCCCTCATCTCTTTTTTAACTGACATGTTTTTCATAAGGATTGAGTGCTGAATAGCTGTTTGGTCTTCTCAGTAATCTGTCATTCAACAGTAGGTATACCAGCATGACACTGCTATACCTATTGTCGTGGCTATAAATAGCCCTTTTGGAGACTTACTGAATTTACCAACCCATTCTCTCTTATAGCAATGCAGTTTTGGTAGGTGGGGCTAATGACTCAACACCACGTGGATCAACAGGCTTTGTGTAGGCCGAGAGAGAAATGGGATCATGGAGGTGCTGTGGGAAGACCTGATGTGGAAACGCATGGCTGTTTGACTTGACCTGAGTACTGAGAGCCCACAGTGCCCTAATATCCGGTTCCCTTGATCTACCAAATTCATATTTTTAATCAGCACCTGTTCAAAAGCTCCCTTGCTTCCGTGTTTGCCTTTCCGCTTTTATCGATACCGTGCGTCAGGTTCAGGTCAAGGTGTCGTTAAATACAAAGTGAATTATGGGAAGACGCAGGCGCTGAGAAAAGCTGGTTTCCCCGTGAGGGAGGTCAGATTTTAAATGTTGCCGGTCCAGTTTTGCAAAGCAACCGCGCTCGGTTTGTAAATGAATATGTGAACACGCCTAAATGGGTTTGTGGCAATCACAGAGTCGCTCGTGCTCGTGTCTCCGGGAATGCACCTGTTTGACGTCACGCAGTCGCCGCGCGCACCGCTAGGAGCCGCGACACACAAAAGCTGGCAGACAAACAGAGAGGGAGAGCCTCGAGTAACAGCAGCGGACTTGAACACTTCCTTAAAACCACTCAAGCGTTTAAAGCCGAAGCTCCGGGAAAAGAAAAAATCTTAAAAAAGAAACTTAGAGTCAGGCTAACGAGGTAAGTCGCATTTTTTTTTTATAAAGCAACAAAAACTTAATTGCGTTAAAAAGAAGAAGAAGAAGCTTGAGCTCGGTATTTGACAACACCGAGACAACAGTCCTTCCTCGCTTGCAGTGTAGTGGGAGTCAGGAGTCCCCAGCGTTTGCCTTGGCACGACTCTGGCTGGTGTTTAGTCTCACTTGGTGACTACAAACCTCGATTGTTTAGCCGTAAACTGATGGCTAGGGCTGTGTGGTTTCTAGAAAGAGGAATGCTGCTGTTGCAGAAAGCCTCTCTGTGTGTTTTATCGTGTTTTTGTCACTTAGACCGGGAAACTTTAAGCCATGTATCGTTGCTGCAGGTTCGCGTACTGTCGCAAGAGCTTGTATCAGTGAGCTAGGTAATAACCCGGGAAACAAGCTTATAGGTCCTGCGAGTAACTACTACAAGTTGGCACAAAAGTTAACCCGTATAATAGTGAAAATCAGGGACAGGGCGTTTTCTCGTTATATCAAATCCACCTGCCGCAGAAGCTAAAGGGACGGTTTAAATGGGGTACACGCGTGATCTTTAGTATAGGCCTAATTCGTGTGTGTAAAAGTGTCATAAACGCCATATTTTCATAGTTATTATTACCACTGTTTATATGCAAGTGCTGTTAATTATTATTTTAAACGTCATAAAACTGAGTTCTGCAGCTATCATAGTGACATAAGCGGTACAGTACTGGGTGAGTGTTTAGTAGATTTCCATTAAATCGCAGGTTTTTGGTGTGGCTGGACAGAGTGCTGACAGTCTCACCGTCACTACAAACAGCAGCCGTCTGCCGAAGCGGTTTAACTTGTACCGAAGCCGGATTGTATTATTCAGCTGAGGCTAAAGTCCACCAGCTCGAAATATCAAAGGTCCTCCCTCACGTTAGGCGGCTGTCATTGCTGTTAGTCATCCTGCGGTAATGTAACTTCTTTCTTGTTGCCAGAATCACATGTGGCTTTGACATGACAGCACAACCCAGAGTACATATGATGGCTCACTTTGGTTTGTGGGGATGTGTCTGTGTGAGGATTACCCTTCGTTCCTGCGGCTGTAAAAACTCGGCCTTCTCAGTAGGAAATGGTTAACACAACTTCTTATCTGACCGGCAACACTAAACCCATTATCCCATGTTGAAATATTCCATCCATTGCTTGCAAAAGTCTTGTGTCACTCACTGCAAAACAAGCCTCTTGTGTTGCGGAGGCTGCAGGTAACATTATCTGACTGCATCTGCCTGCAGTTACTGGTTTGTCAATATTGGCTTGTGGCATCATGAGCTGCTTGGAGGACGCGGTTGGGACATCTGCTCAGTGAGGAACAGCACTGATCCCGCCAATTGCACGAAACTCACAAACATTACAGATTCACGTAAGCCTTACAATGTGCAGGGCGTATTCATTGTGTATGAATAACTAAAACATTGTTTAAAGACAGTACCTAAGAGCTGGTTACATTTAAACAGCTTAAACCTTTTAATTACCAACCCAGCTATGTTTGAGAATTAACTAGAGAAATACTAAAGACAAATCATTATTCTTTATTTCTCCAATTTAAATAATATTCTGATTAGTGTGTCCCATCACACTCACATATGATGTGGACCTTTGTAATAGGACACATGCAGTTTTTTCCACCCACACAAGTAAACAATGAAAGAGCAAGAATCGCGGGCATTGGGCTCAAATTTTGCTAATTCATCTGCGGGTGATGATAGTTTGGCTCATTACTTGCCCTTGGCCTTGTCCCTCTTGTCTCTCACACACACATCACAATCCTGCTTGGCTCCCCTTGCTCTGATGCTATTTTGCTCGACTTAACTAAGGTTTTGTAAACTGTGAGAGGGGCAGAAATGGACACCGCTTTTAATGCATGTGGAGAGAGGACTGTCGCACACGTATGCAGACAGGGGCAGGATTCTGTCCTCGCTGTGGTAGCAGGTTTGAAACTGTGCCAAAGAGCTCAGTGTTCCTCTTAAATAACAAAAAGCCCCCCTCCCATTTAACAGTTGCACTAAAATTTCAAGTTCAAGTGTACTGTTCCTCAAGCATTTAATACCAGCTTGTACTGGTTTGATTGACGCAGTTCCCAGATCCAGAATGATCAGAGGCATGGGTACTTCACTGTAGCGATTTGTGTCTCTGACCTTGCAGCGGTAACATCAGTTCATCTCTCCAAATCTTTCTCACTTTTCTCCCCTGTCCTAATTTAACCATATTGGTGGTGCATGTGTGTCTCGTGAGTTTGTGATCGAGGGGAAAGTCGGGCAGAATTTAACATCACAGTATAACTTCTCTGTTAGTATTACCTGTGTGTGTGAGAGAGAGAGAGACAGTGTTTGGGAAAGGGGTGTTAGCTATTAACCCAGGTTAGTGAAAGAAAGGAAGGCTTTGATTTTTCTTCAAGCCACACTCTGCTGAAATTCATTAAAGGCCCCTTTGTTCAAGGTTATTAGTATGTGCTTATGCGAGCACACTTGTGTGCTTTCCAGAAGGTAATGCGGTAATAATGCACACCACCGTGCCTCAATGAAAGACTTGCGGATTTAAGTGAGGTATGTGGAATTGATGAAGTTTTCTGTCAAAACTGAGGTTGAGAAAGGAAATCAAGCGATTGATTAGGTTCAGAGGTTTACCTATGTCATGTAATGTTATTACCTCCACCAAGGAAGGTCTTGGTTTTGGTTCTGCCTGTCCCTTTATATTTGTATCAACCACTCACCTTTCCTCAGCTGCAGATTTTGAAACTTTGCGCTACTAGTCCTGCCTAGTTTTTTGGCATACCGTTGTTTTAATGTACCGTGGCATTCATTTGTAACTAGTTGCTAAATTTGTACGTGGACAGTAAGCTGTCAATACTGCCATCATAATGAATGACCAAAAGTCAGCAATCCCTGTCTGACTCTCCTGAAAGTTTACTCAGTTTATCCACAGAAAATGCTGCATGGTTTTCTTTGTGCATGCAGCATGCAGAGCTGGATCTACAATTTGACTTTAAACGTCTGACGGGTTGTAATTTAAACAGAAAATAGGAATTAGTTTTTGCTGAGCAGTTCAAAGTTTCCTGCTCTTAAATCAAATGTGGTGTAGGAGCTAGGAACAGCACTTTTCCATGATCACAGTTTGACTTCCAGTGTGGAGAGGGTTTTTTCTCTTTCTCTTTCAGCCAGCATTAAGTGCCATTTTGTGATTAATAATGGATGTTTACATACACAGCCACACACATATGCACACACCAGGTTATTTGCTCTAGGACTGACTCTGACTATGAAGTTAGCGGCTCATAATAATTTGTGTTTGTTCAGCTCTCACTGGCTCGACCAACTCCATTAGCAAGACTGTTCTGGGTCTGTCCGTAGTCTTATTCATACATGATCTCTGGAAAATGTTAGGAATCGGGTCACGCATTGAGTGTAAATGATAATGTGAATGAACACAGCAGGAGATCGTTCACATCAGCCACATTCTCGCTACTGGACATATGCCATTTGGTTTAGGATATTTAATGTCTCGCCTGGCTGCTTAGGACATTAGTGTTCAACCATACAGCTTTGCTGGGTAATGCCTAGAGAAGTTCAGGTCTGCAGTGCATGTGTGCATACTGCATTCCCATTCAGTCTTGCATCCCCCTCTCTTTCTCTTTCAGTGCATGTTGTGCATTGAAGTAATAAGGACACAAGAACCAAAGTTTCTCACAGGGCAGATTTTCTTCCATTTCATTTTGTTTTTTTAACGCTGTGGTCAATTTCCCAATAATTCTAACTGAATATGTTGCATGCAGTATGGGAACATGCCAAATCTACTTCATGTAAGCATCATCTGCCCTGAAATAGAACCAGCAACTAAACCTGACGTCCTCTCACTGTGGTTTTAGTGATATTACCTGTCAGCTGTTTGAGTTATCTTCATTAATGTTGGGATTCTTTTGAAATGCACTGGCTGACTGATCATTTCCATTTCTGTTGCCTGCATCCACACTCTTCACTGGTTTGTATATAGAATCCTGTTAGACTAGTTTTCATTGCTCTGGGTCATCTTTTGGCACAAAGGCAGACAAAGTGTCTGCGAGAAACAGCCACATTTTAGTTTAGTTTTTATTTTTAAGTAAGCAAACGCATGACGTATGAAACTCAAAGGCATACTGAATATACTGCAGATGCATTTTCAGCATTTCTTACACATCAATCTTGTAGCTCAGCTGTCAGTGGTTGTTAATGATGACTCAACTCTAAATTAGACTCAGTAAACAGTGACAGTGAGCAGGCCTGCACAGTGCAGAACCATGAAACCAAAGCAGCACGAAGGAAACTGAAGAATGAAATAATTTTCGGTCAAAGGTCAAGGTCAAGGTCACGGGTTATCTCCCATCCTTCCCAGTCTCGTTAACATGATGTAAATCTGGAATGTATTGAGGAAGTTTCTTAACATATGCCGAAAATCTCGTTGTTTTCCGTGATGAACTGATTAGAACCTGGAGGTCAGAGGTCATTGTCATCGTGATCTCACAGGAGATGTGGTCTTCTTCTTTTTTCTTTTTCTTTTCTGAGCTCAAACTCAAGAAATCATGATCGAAATATTGCGCTGTACATAGGATACTGTGCTGCTGGGTTAAAATGTTATTCTTCAGTTCACTTCTTCTCCTTTAACTGTTGTCTACTCCCACGTCTAAGATATGTCCTCACAGATTTGTTTTCTTGGCTGAGCATAAAAGCACTTAAAACAAATTGTTCCAGATCCCTGTTTTCTGTATAAGTCTGTGCAGATGTAGATGTCAGCTGCAAATTGACTTATTGGCAGTGTCGTACAACCAAGAGCCAGTAATTCTAGTTCTCCACCTGTGACATGTTCAAACATCTTCTGTGGAAATAAAAAAAAAAAGCCCTCAGTATGTAAGCAGAGAATGCTGGTGTATTTAAATCTGCACAGATCTTGTGTTTTGTGGACATTGTGATGTGTCAGTGGCGATAAGGTGATGTAATGTCAGCATTAACAATGGTTACATTCCATTTAAGTGATGTACTTCAGGGTCTTTACCGTAGCCATGCCGGCTTACAGGGTTATTTTTGGATCGCTTCAGCTGAGTCATGTTTATTTATGTTAGTTACACCTGCCCATTTTTCACCCATTTGAAATTCAAAAGTACCGTAAGTGTGGAAAGTCTTCTAAAGTAAAACATAAAAACTTACACAGCTGTTTTGAGATCATCCCATTCCCATACTTTATATATGTATATATAAAATATGGGCATAAAGTGCACTCAAAGTATCTCGAGAGTTCCAATTTTCTAGCATTTGCACAGAGACTTTAAAATTAAACTGTGTCTGTGGCAACAATTAAAATGGTCTTTAAATTAACATCTCAAGAGAATTTTTATTGACTACCAATTGAAGTGCCTTTGGCTTCTTGCAGTCAGTGATTGTCTGAAGTCTACAACCTTTAGATATCAACAGACCCTTATTGATGCTAGAGGCTCTAATTGCCTTTTATTCGTCCAGCATGCTCATGCTTTGTCCGAGGGGTTGGAGCCAACTGGGCTAAGATCAGGTCACTAACTTGACTAAATTAAACTCTCTTCCCATTTAAAAAATGAGTTGGCTGGCTTTTCGAGCCTGCTAAAATATTCTAATATTGAGAGACAGTTTATATTAGTCTACAAGTTCTAAACTGCTAACCTTATGTGGACAACATCACATGCTGTTTGTTTTTTGTTTGTTTTTTAAAAAAAAAACAAATCTTCCTTGTAATTATGTAGCAAGAGGGAAGCAGGACAAGGATTTAAAGCAATGCCAGTAATATCTTAGACCATATTTCTGATTCTTGTATGTCGTTCAACTTTTGTTTATATCTCAAATTACCTGTCTTTGTTCCGACCTGCCAATTAAAGGTTACTCCCCAGCCTGCTAGACCGGCTTGATCATTTCTTCGCTATCTCCACAAATTCACTTCATACCAAGCCTTTGACTTGTCCGTGGTGCGTCGCTGAGCATGAACTAAATGATGGCCTAGCTTTTGTAGGCAGTCACGCACGTTCCTCTCCAGGACTATGTCACGTTAACTCAGTGCACAAAAATAGAATATTTGTTTTATGTCATTTCAAGTAAAGGCTATTGTGCCACTGGTTTTCTTGTACTGTTTAATACCGAAATGTGTGTTTTTTGCTGTTGTGCGTATTACAGGGTTTGCTGTTTCTGTATTTGTTCTTATTAAACACTGACTTTGACATGAATCACCGTGTGTGATTATTGGAAGAGAAATCCTTCCCAATTCCCAAGCCAAGTGGCAGCTAAAGCCCTAGTTACCAGCATCTTTTTGTTCTCTTGTTTTCCTCATACTGGTGATCCTTCTAATTAGTTCTGAAGAGCATTTTGAAGTTAAGAGAGACAGTACAGGTATGCAGCCCAGCCTTACATCTTCTGGCTCTCCAAAAGTACTAAAGACTTATTTAAGAGTAACTTTGTATCTCTTCAAAGACGCACACTGACAGATGTATGTACAGTATCTGTTTCACTGGAGTTTGATTCTATTGTATGAGTCAGTCTAGTGAGGGCAACTCTGGTTTCCCCCTCATGTCCAGTGGCATGTCTGTCAGTGTGTTGTCTGTTTTGTTTTCTTTCTTCCTCTTTCTCTCTCTTGCTCTTTTCCCCTACCCACCCCTTCCCCAATTGCATATGCTCACTTTTTCCACTTTCTCTGGGGAAACAAGGACTTCTTTTGCACATAATGTCTGTGCATGTGTACATTGGAAAAAGTGTGTGTAAAGTCCTGATAAAACTGGAAAAGTATATATTCCCAGCAAGTGTTTGTGTTTTTCTTCCTATTCCTGTATGCCTGCCTGTGTGAGTACATGTATAAGAACTTTCAAGAGCTCTCCTCTTGTTTAAGAGCAGTCTTGACCGCAGTCAGAAACAGTCATTTGTTTAGCAATCTTCAGTTCAGCGTCTGCCCGATGGTATTATTTCATAACTATATAAACATTTAAGGTGCCCAAGGCTGTGAAAGGGGCATATATGTGCTGGTTACTGAATAATTTCTGTCTGTTGAAGAAGTTGGCAATGAAAGAGCACATTGGAGACGATTTCTGAGACATCACAGTTAGTTATTCATTTCCTCACCCAGACTGTTTGTTTTGGATTTCAAGCCTTGACCTCCAAATCACAAGGCCTGTCTGTGTAGGACATCACTGCCTCCCAAACACTACACATCCCTTTATTATAGTTAAAAAAAACTCTCCTGCTTTCTCTCTCTGAAATTCTGAGTGTCACCCCAGCGAGCACAAGATGTGATCTTACTTCCAGCCTGAGCTCAAAATAGCATCTAGTCTACCTTTTAGCAGGCTGAGCAGCATGCTTATACATACATTAAAAACACATACCAGGTTCTTCAGTTGGCACCTCAGAGCATGTTTCATTCAGCAAAGTGAAAGGAACGTGAACACGAACAAACCTTGTCTTCTTATGAGTGACCGATAATGTAGACGCACAAAGGCGGCATGTCATTTCTGTGAATCTCATGTACAGAAGATGAAGTGAGGAATTACTCTTCCACTATGACACAACATCCGGAGAATGGTTTAGCACAAGAAATGGAGTTTTAATAAGTAGATGACTTGTCTTGTTACAACAACAGTTTTAGGAACTTAGGAAATGTAAAATTTAGATGGAAGCATTCATTTTATTAGACTACACTAGATAGAAGTATTAGACAGAAGAGATGAGATTACTGAAAAAGGAGACATGCATTTGTTTGAACATTTTGCTATGCCACTCACCTACAGGCCCCAGAATTTCAGCCAGTAGCGCTAACATGCTGGATAAACACAAGCCCCCCCAATAAAACATTAAAAGCGCTCCAGATTTGTCTGCTCACAAATAGCAGGGCTGTTGTTGGTGTTGACAGTTATGGAGCCTTTTAAAGAATGGTCAGAGCAACAGATGGTAACATCTGCTGAAAATAATTCACAACAGGGTTGAAATTATATATTTGTGTTTTGAAAAATGTTCTCTCGCTGTCTGCCTCTCTAGAGTACAGTTTAGGATTGACATTCTGTTCCTTCTTCCCTCGTTACTGGCAGGTAGTTTCCAAACTTATGTATGAAGTAGAAAACCACTACTTCCTCTGCAGGATGCTGCTAGCCGCTGTTACCCTCTTCCTTCTTGTTTTACGCACAGAACTTGAGCAATGTGTGAGTGTGTGTGAGAGCAAGAGACAAAGATCTCTCTCTAGAAAGTCTAGACAGAGTGGCTTAAATCAGTCTTTTTTTTTTCGCCCCCAGGAGCCTTTGGTGAGTGGTCACCATGCCACCCTTCCTGCGTATCACCCTCAGTAATTACGATGTGGGCGCGCTGTCTCCTCTTTCTGATGCTCCCATCTGTGCCATCAGGATAAAAGAGTCTATCGACACAGGTATGTACAGTTGTGCTTGTGCAAGAAGTGCAACAGTTGACAAAGAGACCTTACAACATCAGTTTGACTGTCACTATCTACTGCCCTCAAAAGTCCACAAGGAAACTGATTCTTAACAAACATCTTTGAGCTATAACCACTCCTTAATGCAGCGATGATGATGATGATGATGTCATTGTTCTTTTACAGAGAGAGGGAAGACCCTGGTTCAGAGGAAGCCCACCATGTACCCCCCCTGGAAGTCCAATTTTGATGCTCATATCAAGGAGGGGCGTGTCCTAGAAGTTGTTCTTATGCAGAGTAATGAGGAGCCATTGGCCAAGGCCACAATGGGCGTGTCTGTGCTGGCAGAGCGCTGCAAATCCAAGTCTAGAGGCAGCGGACGTGCTGAGTTCTGGGTGGACCTGCAGCCTTCTGGGAAGATTCAGATGGCTGTGCAGTTTTTTTTGGAGGATGGTGATGCAGGTAATGTGATTCAAGTTTAGTTTACAATCACTAGTTTTCTATTCTTCTTGGGGGAGAGAAAACATGCAAGGTCTTTTGATCATTATCAGTGGATTTGTGGAAACATAAACATGTGACCAAACAGGTGTCACCTTCAGATTCAGATAGTGATATTGGTGCATGGAAACATGTGACATCGCCTTTACGCCAGTTGAGTCCAGCCCATTTCAGGCATGATTATAAAGCACATGGAGTTCTACATGCTGTTGTCTAATGTGAAATGGCTGGAAATGGATCCAACTTGATCAAAGTGTCTGTTACTTGAAGTAGGTTTACATTTAAAAAATATATATTACAGGTTGTAGAAAACAGTTTTTAATTCAAAATATTTTTATTGAGTATTTCTGGATATAGTTTACAAAGGAAAAAAAGAAGACGGAAAACACAAACTGTTTAAAATGAATGAATACAAAACAGAACTTCTCATGTTGGAACATTGTTTTCCTCTCCTATTATTTACCAAACAAGCAGAAACCCAGAAGAAAAACAAAAAGAGAGAAAACAAAAACAAGAAAACCCCCCAACAAAATAAAAGCCACAACCCGAGAGGGATTATGATATTAACTAACCCTTTCCATAAGAACCACACAGAAGTTAGCTACGACATCGCTGAGCTTCACGTTCCCGTTAACACAGACAAACATCAGATCAGCAAATCCGTTACTCAGCTGGAACATCCTTAAGTTGAAGTTTAGAGAAGTTTTCCAGAAAGACACCCCAAATTTTATCATATGTGCCCTTTTGGTTCTGGATGGAGCAGTGGATGTTTTCCAGACTGAGACACGACATGAGATCAGCAAGCCACTGAACATGGGAGGGCGGGGCAGCAGCCTTCCACCTCATCAAAATGGCACGCCTAGCCAGGAGGGAACCAAAAGACAGCACCCTACGCTTTGCTCTGGGAATATACTTATCATCCTCTCCCGCTGTACCAAAGAGAGCAAGTAGGGGGTTGAGAGCTAGTTTCAGGCCGGTAGCCTTGTTCAAAGTGCAAGAAACCTCCTCCCAAAGATTTTGCTAGGCCAGGGCAGGTCCAAAACATGTGGAATTGTAACAGGGAACGACGGGTGCAGAGTGATGTAGAGTTTACCAGAGAAAGGACTGAGTCCCAGACGTCATGTGACATAGATATGTTTAACTGCTTCTCCCATGTGGACTTGAGGCCCACAACGGGAGCTGGTGTTACACTGCACAGTTTATTATAGAGACATTACAGCTTTGCCTGATAGTTGCAAATTAAGGAGCTTGTCCAGTAAGTTAGCAGCTGAAGCTTCTGGAAAATTGAAGAGGTGGGATTGCAAAAAATGTCTCAGTTGTAAGTATCTAAAAAAGTGCGTTTTGGGAAGACTGTATTTTTTTGACAGCTGGTCAAATGATGCTAGTTTATTGTGTATAAAGAGATCTTTAAAGCAAATAATACCTGCTCTAAACCAAACCTGGAACAAGTTGTCCAAAGTTGGGGGGAGGAATAGGTGGTTTGAAAGGATGGGGCTTTGAAGTGAAAAATTATTATCAATATTAATATTATTATTGCCGAATTATCTGATTAGATCCAAAGTTGTCAATGAATAAAGGAAGAGAAGAACCCAGGAAGGAGGCAAGACAAATACCATGAGTTGAGTCTGATTCCAGTGCCAGCCAGCTGGTGGGGCCCACACCCTCCCCAGACTGTAACCAGTAGGTCAGAGATCGAATATTGGCAGCCCAATAGTAAAAGCGGAAGTTGGGGAGTGCCACCTTCAATCTTAGGTTTCTGTAAATGCACCTTAGCTACTCGACGTCATTTACCCTTCCAAATATAAGAGGAGATTATAGAATCTAGAGTTGTAAGGAAAGACTTGGGGATGAAGACTGGTGAAGATTGAAATAAGTATAAGAATTTAGGACGGATATTCAGTTTAATTGAATGAATTCGTCCGACCAGAGTTGTGTTCAGGGGTGACCACTGTTGAAGGCTTTGTTTGACATTCTTCAATAGCGTAAAAAAGGTGGCTTTGAGAAGTTGTTTATACTTTCTTGTAATTGTAATACCCAGGTAGGCGAACTGCTCTTTGACCACTTTAAAGGGGAAACCCGACAAATCTATTGGAAGCGCGTCTTCATTTAATAGATAAAGTTTGCTCTTGGACAGATTTAATTTATAACCAGAGACTTGACTGAAACGCGGGAGTAGTGACAATATATGAAAAGAGTTTTCCCTGACCGGGAATCGAACCCGGGCCGCGGCGGTGAGAGCGCCGAATCCTAACCACTAGACCACCAGGGAGATGTGCGCTCAGTGAAAGTTGAGATCTTTTCCGGCAACAGTCACCCACGTACCTCACCACCATTTTCCCATCTGTCTGCTCTGTTTGCTATACATCACCCTCTACTGGTAGAAAGGCTTCATTTTTCCTTATTTTTCTACAACCAGCCACAGATTACATGTGTTTATGAGGTTTGTGGAGCAGCCACGCTTCTACAGTGATTTGAAATAATCTGTCTGCCTCAGGCTGTTGATGATTAATCTGCATGCTGGTTTCACACCTCACACTGGTCTGGTCAGCTGACTAGGTGTGCCATGAAACCATTGCAGGATAAAACTAATCCTCTGGTGTCATTACAAATTTAGCCTGTGGCTTGGGCTGCAGTTCAATTATTTCTGACAAGGAACTGTAAATGTTTGTTTTTCTTAATACACCGCACTAGTGAGTTTACTAAGAACTGGGGTAAACAAACACCTACACTGTATTAATTGTTTTTGTTGATGTCTGTGGCCTAAATTAAAATGAAAAAACAGTCTGTGAAGCCCATTTAAGTACATTGAATAACATTCTTAATAATAATATTATTAATAATAGCAGAGCATTAGCTGGCTTCATGCTGCATTTAGGGTACCAAGTTGGTCCGGATGGCAAGGCCAGCCCGCATAGTCACTGTTAACACAACAAACATTTCGTGGTATTTCCAAACTGCGTTCTGTGTAATGAGAGTTTCAGTGTGGGAGTGGCACAGTCTGGGTTTGCTGTTACTGGGTCATGAAAACTCCATACTCTGCATCTTGTCTCCTTCCAACACCCTCCGTAAGTTTCCTGAAAAGCAGCCCGGAGTATTTTTAGGCACGTGTGAACAGTCATCAGCAGTATCTGCCCCCTCTGTCATTCTCTTTTCCTCTCACTCGCTCCCACTTTCTTGGCTCAACTTACCAAAGTGCTGTCCAAACAAACATCTGTCAGTAGACTGGCAGATAAGAAAAAAGTTTGTCCCTCACCTCATCACTCTTCCCACTTTCCCCCGTCTGTTCTGTTGTCTTTAAGGCGGCTTCTTTTTTTGAATTGTCCCAAAATGCCACCTCCCATCCACCCACATACCCCCCTTGTCTCTTCCATAGTTTCTGTTATGTCTTTGTTTACCACTCTCACGCCTCTTTCGCTGTCTTCTCTGATTGACTTTTGACCCCCACCCATTTGATTTGCATCAGTTAGAGCAGCTAATCCAGGGAGGCATTTTGCAGTGTTTAGCCTCCATTCAGCAGTGGCAGTAGCTCATGTCTCCCCTTTCCTTAGCTCATAAGGTATTCTTAACAAATAGTTTTCTGTTACAGTTGACAGTGATAAAATACACAGCGGCAACATTGATGGTTTATCAGCCAAACTGTTTGAATTTAGGTAACGTTTGACAGAAATTATGTTTCTAAAATTTAATGGACATGCAATTATTTGATTGTTAACTCTATCTCTCCCCACAGTGGCTGCTAGGCCGACCGTGAAGGCTCCTACTGAAGACGGGTTGATGACCCTGAACAGGAGGAGGGGCGCAGTCAAGCAGCCCAAGATTCTTGTCATCAAGAACCATGAGTTCACGTCCACCTTCTTCCACCAGCCCACCTTCTGCTCTGTCTGTAGAGACTTTCTCTGGTGAGATGCAAAAGTCCCTCTTTGTTAGATGGCAGCTGCCACTATTATTATTAAATCTTAGTTTTTCACTGGTGTATTTTTTTTTTAAAATCTCAGTAGAGTCTCAGAGTGAGGCTATGAATGTTTTTCCTTCCACTTTGTTTGAACGTGACTAATCCAGAGGCAGCTAGTTTGCCTGTCTGTTTGCTTGCTTTTCTGCTTTGCTTTGTGTGTGTGAGTGCATGCGTGTTTTATTTCACTGGTACAAGTAGTCCATACTTTCAAATGTCTTTCTTAAAAGATTGGTTATTTTGTTTTGCTTAATGGAGCAGTTTAAGGGAATTAAGGGGGGAAAAACCTGTAAGAGTGCTATTGTGAGAATGAGTCACCTCCTAGGGAAATCCCACAAGGCTGTTATATCAGTGTCAGCAGCACTAATCTGTGAACCAAACTCCTCCTTGTACTCAAACTTCAGTATTATCTATATCTTGTAAAACAGGGAGGAGGAAGTCTGAAGTTTATTGAGTCTGTTGTCTGACGCTGGTATTTTTACACCCATAGTTTCAATCTTATGACCTAAGATGGGAGGAGAATCTAGTTATCTCCACACGATATATCACTATCATCAGCAGTCCTACAATTAAAATCATCCCGTGTATCTTACTCTTTTACAGTATTAGCAGAGAATATTATAATATATTCTCTAAATTGGATATAGCTCAGCCATTTACCTTCTCCCTTTTTTCCCCATGCAGGGGGCTCAACAAGCAAGGATACAAATGCAAACGTGAGTGTTTCTTTGACTGTTACCAATTCATGTGGTGTCAGACTTACACACAAACACCTTTCACCTCCAGGAAAAGGGAAACCATCAAAGTTGCAAGTGAATGGACTGCTAACACAGTATTTATCGATTTGTCTATTTCACACAGAATGCAATGCAGCAATCCACAGGAAGTGCAGCGACAAAATCATTGGCAAGTGCACTAGAACAGCGACCAACAGTCGTGAGACTATGGTGAGCGAAGTTGTGTATGGACGAGTACAGTCACTCTGCTGGCTTCTTTTTATCATGGAATTGAGGATGATTTTGTATTTTATCTTGTAGTAATATATCAGTGATACACTATTATGTCAACTAAACAGTCATTTTAACACTATACTTTTTTTGTTTGTCTTTACATGACCACATATCTTTGACTCAAATGAATACTGAGCCAAACACATCCACCCAAACCTACAAACATCATCAGTATTGGATTCAGTGTTCAAATCAGTTGAAACGTGTGATTGCTTATTGTCTGTAGAAGTTCTGTGTGACTTTAGCTTAGACAGGCGAAACATATAATCTTGCGTGTTTTAATCGTCAGGTACCAGCATTCTCTGGGTTTAATGCTCTTCTATGTGTCTGTAGTTCCAGAAAGAACGTTTCAATATTGACATGCCACATCGCTTTAAAACTTACAACTACAAGAGCCCCACCTTCTGTGACCACTGTGGAAGTCTACTGTGGGGTCTGTACAAGCAGGGCCTTAAATGTGAAGGTAAGTCTGGTGTGTTGAGTTTCTTTGTTTGTTTTGTTGTTGTTTTTTATTTTCGTTTTTATTAATATATTTTCTCTCTGAATCTTTTCCTTTGCTTGGGCTGTTCCATTGTTGACTCCACTGACCAGACTGTGGCATGAACGTACATAGTGGCTGCACAAGCAAAGTGGGCAATCTTTGTGGAATCAACCAGAAACTACTAGCAGAGGCTTTGTCTCAAGTCTCCCAGGTTTGCACAGTCATTGGGTGAACATTGTATTAAAAAGCTAAGAAAAACTAATTAAAAATATGAAAGAATCTGTTGCCAAACTTATTTTTTTCTCCATAGAAATCTGTGAAGAAATCTGAGGACTCCCCTGCACCAGATATTGGAATCTACCAAGATGTCAGAAATGCAACAGTGGACCCTAGTGGTGAGAAGCTTTCATTGTAGCACTGACTGTAATACAAAGTTTTTCTAAAATGGTGTATCAGCTTTAGGGGACCTATTACTAGACCTGAGTGACGCTTTGTCTGCGGCATGCAGTTTTACCTCCTCTGCTTTTAAGGCCAGATGCTGTTTAAGCAAACTTTTGCAAGCAGAAAGTTTGAACAGCAGGTGGGAGAAGCTGCTGTGTCTGAGATGGCCATATTAACAATACACCCTCTAAATAACATAATTAAGAAACAAGAGTAAGAAAACACGGTGTAAAGCAAATCTGAAACTGTAGGTTTTGGATCAAAGCAATTGCTTGCAAATATAATAATGTCATTATCTGAATGCTGGGCATATTTAAAAATGCAGTGTTGAAACAGTCATTCCCAACATCATTCTTTCCTTATTAATTATGTCTTTATTATCAACCTTAAAATGACCTTTTTGCTGTTTCAGTTTGCGTGCATGTTTGTTTACGGGTTTGCATACTCATTTACTTAAAGTTTGCAAATTTTACAGCAGGTGGCAATGGGAAGGGTCCTAGCCCTAGCCCTGCCCCAGCCCCAACTACAGTTTCCCAGGCACGCCTCTCCCTCAACCAGCTAATATTCCACAAGGTTCTGGGAAAAGGCAGCTTTGGCAAGGTATGCTCCATGTTGCTGTCTTTAAATCTTTAAGTCTTTATCATGGACTGTAAGGCACCATAATGTTACTCAGACTTGCATGTGAAAAGAATGTTTGCTTAAGAAAATAAACTCAAAGTAGTCCTTCAATTGTCCACATGGGAATTTTTGCTGATGCTAACCATGAACTATTATGTTGGTAATGGGAGTAAAATATTTTGAAAAAACTGTATACAAAGTAAAAATTCACATGTTTTAGAAGACAAAACCATTACTAAGGAAAAGTGAAGATGTTTAAATTCAGATGAAGGGAACCTCTGAAAGGAAGAAACCTCTGAAGGGAAAAAAATCTCATGTGCTAATTTTTTTTTGTTAATTTAAGTCTATAACTAAAGCACATTTTGATTTACATGGCAGATGTAGTTTACCCCACTTTTGATCTTTAGTCTAGCTTATAAGATCTGTACAACCCCCCGCTGCTTCTGAAATGACTTCCTTCACTCTGCAATGGGAGCATTTGACTGCTTTCAAGCGCAATAACAAGTTGTTCATCTGTCACCACAGATGCCAGACATCATTTAACACACAGAATGATTTACAAGAAAAGGAGAAGGCAAATTTATTTATATCCAGTCCCAGTGTGGGCATTGTGGGCTCTGCAGTGAAGTGAAACATCTACACAGAAATGCAAAAACATAGCTCAGTTTGTTTTGTTATACTCTAGTTATGAAGCAGGTGTGATTAAACTGATGATGTTACTGACAGTAATGTGGTTCTGACACCCCAGGTGTTGCTTGCAGAGCTGAAGGGACAGAGCCTGTACTTTGCTGTGAAGGTCCTGAAGAAGGACGTCGTTCTCATGGATGACGATGTGGAGTGCACCATGGTGGAGAAAAGAGTCCTTTCCCTTGCCTGGAACAACCCTTTTCTCACTCATCTCTATGCCACATTCCAGTCAAAAGTAAGTGCACACATGCTAAACACCTCTGCTAGTAAAGTTCATAGAACATGTTCTCTGATGGGGAGTCGTCTAGGCTGCAGCAATAAGAGTCACAGTTCCAAGCTGTCATTAAAGGCTGCATCCTCAACAATTCAATTCTTTCAGTTTGTTTTAAAATAAACACTGTTTTAACAGCGGTTCAGTTCAAAGGAACACACAGCAGTGGTAAAATATTGAATTTATCTGCACAACAGCTACGGGCATAGAAAACAACACCTGTAATGCCTGTAAGTCATTATCTATATTAAATTTAGTGCCATGCAATAGTAGTAAGTAATAACTGATGAGAGCCAGTCAGGCAGCGAGCCTTGGCATCGATATAATTATTTTAAAAAGTTACTTTTTCTGCCTTTCAAGACTTAATGACCCTGTGTTAATATAAAACTCTTTTAAGGTTTTTGGAACTTCTTAATTGTCAGATTAGTGTGGACTCTCTGCGTACCGAGAAAATGGATTAGTGTGAGCAACTTACCCCGCTCTCCATATCTCCTTTACGTCTGCTGGTTAACTTACAATAATGTATTATTTGCACAGGAGCACCTCTTCTTTGTAATGGAGTACTTGAATGGAGGTGACTTGATGTTTCACATCCAAGACAAGGGACGATTTGATCTCAACAGAGCTACGTGAGTACATGGGGATAGAGTGTTTTAAAAAAGGAAGAAAAGAAAAAAAGCTACAAGTGTTGTATGAGTTATCATTTTCAGCGTCATTGGGTCTTAAATCGTACTAAAACTGTTATTTCCTCAACTTTTAGATTCTATGCTGCTGAGATTATAGTGGGACTGCAATTCCTCCACTCAAAGGGAATAATCTACAGGTAAAATCCCACAGGCTCTCTGTACTACTTCCTGCATTCTCTGCATTCAGTCTGCTACTGCAGCAGAGTAAACTGAAATTTCGTTTTAGATTACATGGCTTCAAACTGAATTTACTGTGACAGTCCTACATTGTTTAAATATCATCCTATATCTGTTTACAGAGACCTGAAGCTGGACAATGTGATGCTGGACAAGGACGGACACATAAAGATAGCAGACTTTGGCATGTGCAAAGAGAATGTCTTTGGAGATGTCAAAGCGAGCACATTCTGTGGGACACCAGATTATATCGCACCGGAGGTTGGTTTGCCCGGCTAAGGGTTCAATACCTTACTTTTCCATCAAAATCTTTCACCTTTTTATAAAAGCCACAATCTGTATGTCATTCAGGTGGCAACCTGAATTGTTTGTTTGCAGTCTCTTTGTAATACTATGTAACAAGAACAGAACACTCCAGACATCACATTCCCTCATTCTTCTTCTATGCTTCTGATCAATTTGTCTCTTATCTCAGATCCTGTGTGGACAGAAGTACACATTCTCAGTGGACTGGTGGTCTTTTGGTGTCCTGGTGTATGAGATGCTAATTGGTCAGTCGCCTTTCCAAGGTGACGATGAGGACGAGCTCTTTGAATCCATCAGGTCGGACATTCCTCACTACCCTCGGTGGATCTCCAAGGAGTCAAAGAGCCTGCTTGACCTGGTAAAAATATAAATGAATAAATTATTAGGCAGACATGCGTATTGTGGAATTATAGTTACATAATGAGATCTATTGTGTTCTGTTATTATTTCAGTTGTTTGAGCGAGATCCCACTCGCAGATTGGGTGTTGTGGGGGACATCCGAGGACACCCATTCTTCAAAAACATTAACTGGACAGCACTGGAGAGGAGACAAGTGGAGCCTCCTTTCAAGCCTAAAGTGGTATGGGCCTAAAATTTTGGTTTTAATTAACATTAGTTCACAGCTATTAATTAGAGCTGTCATTAAATATAATTGCTTGCCTCTAGGATATCAGATACCTCATCTTATTTTTTCTTTTTTACTTTAACCTGACTAAATGCCTAACCTCCCACCAACAGAAATCCCCCAGTGACCACAGCAACTTTGATCGTGAGTTCCTGAATGAGAAGCCGCGTCTCTCCCATGCTGATAAAAACCTCATTGATTCTATGGACCAGGCAGCTTTCGCTGGCTTTTCCTTCATCAACCCCAAACTGGAACCCATAATAACCAAATAAGAAAGTAAAAACGGCATCCTCAGATGGCTCATCACTTCCAGCAGGCTTCTTACCCAATTCCCTTTGTCTTCGTGTGGTGGAGGGCCTGAGCTTGACAATGAAGTTTTCTTTTGTTTTGTTTTTTCAGTTCCCCAAAAGAGGAAAAGATCAAATAAAACCAAGATGTTGTTGGAAGCTAAGTGTAATAATATCTCAGCTATCAAACTTGTACAGGTGTATAAAATAGTGTCTGGAAATTAAGGGAGTTTCATCAGAAACCAGTGTTACCATTATTAGTCTGGGGACAGGTGTGTATAGTAGAATATATTCAATCTTTGGGCACTTTTCTTTCCCTTTTCCACATGATCACACTTTGAATCTGTAAGTATCATTTAGTGTACTGTATCATAAATTTTTATTTACAGACAGAAATGCAGCACCTTTGTTTAGTCATAGAAATTAATACACCTAGCATTGCTTAGTCAAGCCGTGTTTGTGTTTGTGTGAAAGACAGAGTGTGTGTGGTGCATGCATAAGAGCCTGTGGGTGCGTGCAGGTATTTTTGTATGTAAATGGTGCCTCTGTAGCCAGTAACATTAACTGTTGGTGTACGAATTCTCAGCTGGTCCAGGTAAAGGTGCCGTGAATTTAAGTCTAGCTGAAATAAAGTTGTTTTTTGTTTTGTTTTGTTTTTAAATGCTAGAATTTACATTTTCCCTCATTGACTGCACTCTTGTTTAGAAACTAGACATGCATTACCCACAGTGTCACATTCACTTTAAAAAAATGCCCATGATACCCACTTTTCTTGTGTTATTTATCCAACACTGGTGTTAAAACTCATTCAGACTCAAGCACAGTGCAAACACTTGTTCCACACATAGCATTATGTTTTTCTTTGGGCTTGCAAAAGATTTCATGAAAGACTTGCAGCAGCCGTTCGGCACCATGCCTGTATGTGCTGAAGGACGTGCTTTTATGGGGGGGGTCACTGTAAGGACAGATCTTTAATATGTCTTATATTACTTGAATGCAGGAATTTTAACATGGAAATAATATTGCTGTATATGGAAGATTAAAATGTATGTTACTATGAGCTTTCTATAAGTTATGGGTGGACTTATTTTTTACTCTCCTCATCTTTTACATTTGATTCTGAATAAATATACTGTAAACTCCTGAGAAGTCATGCCCTTTCTTCTGCTTTAAATCCATTTTGCATCCCAGTTATTATTGGTACAGGTTAAGAAAACGTTTACTTGGTTCACGTGCACCTTTGTACTACTGGCATTATGTTAGGAAAAGACCTGTGGTAATTTACCGCCACCTAGCGATCAGGTGTTTTTATTGCAGCTTAAAGAAGGGTGAAAAAAAAAAAAAAGGCGAGGAAACGTTCATGCAGCGCGCTCGCCTTTTTATGACCTGTCCTCGTCCTCTGTCCCCCACCCCGCCCCGACGCATTTCGGTGTTTTAAGTCTTAGTGCAGACTGTGGACAAATAGCAAACAAGAGACAGGAAACTGAAAGCTGCACTGGGAGGCAAACGTGTTCAACTTGTTCGGAGATTTGCCTCTCTATGCAAACAGCCTTAAGCCTAATGCAGCGTTAAAGTTGCAGGCCATTTTAAAAAGAAAAAACGACCCAACCCAAATGACAAATTAAAAATAACACGATCAAAAAGATAAATTGAAAAATGCGGCACGGTTAACAAATACTTTCTCATTCAGCAGCAGATTTATTTGGGGAAACCCAAATTCCTTCTCGTCTAGTCGAAAGCTTTTAGTGCAAGGCAGCTCCACACTGGAATAAAAATCACCAGATACATTTTGGAAATAAATGCGTGCCCCCCTCCCCCAGTCCCTGTCACTTAAATTTATTCACGGCTCTGCGATTGTTTCGACTGTTTGTGCAAGATCCGATCGCCTTTCTGTGGCCAACATTTACTGTATTGTTTCCACCTGAAAAAGAAAAAAATAAACGCTTTTAAAAATATTTGTAGGCATCCGTAAGGCTGGGCCAAGTGAGCGGCAAAATGTGTTTTAGATACCGGGTGAGGCTTGAAGAGCTGAAGACGGGTTTATCGAAACGAGGTGTACACTTGTTTCATAAGGAAAGCGCCTTTCTTGCACAAAATAGGTAGACTTTGTGCGCCGCACTCAGTGTCAGCGCATATTTCCAGCAGTTTCTCCCGCCCTCTCCCCCCAACAAAAAAAGAACCACAAAAAAACCCACAAAAAAAAAATAAACGGCTTGGCATCCTTGCGCAGCTTGAGTATCCTGACAGCAAAGACGCGTAGAATTGTATCCTTCAGTGTGATTGTCCATTTTAAAAGTACGGGACGTATGTCAGGCATTGTCTGTGAGCTTATTTTATTTACTTAACAGATATTACAGTGAATGGAAATAAACCAACTCGAGGTCATCTTCAATAACACAGCCGATAGCCTACTTCAATACAGAATGAATTGCTTTTCTTTTGTAGCAGAAAAAGAAGCCTATTCCACTTATCGAAATTGTGTCGATTATACGTGCAATTAATTCCGGCTCAGCCATTAACTAAGTGTTGATTCCGCTGGGTATAAAAGAAGCCCTTTAACGGCTGGTGAGGCTGACCCTCCCCTTCTGTACGAACACGGCAAACATTTAGCTTTTTTTCTTTTATTTTTGTGTTATAGATAGAGTCTTCACTCCTGTTGTGTGTCATTTTTATTGTGTGTGTGAAGATGGAAGTCAGTGTGATGTAGCCAGGCTCAGAGGCATATAGGCGGCAGAACATGCGCAGTGGCCGCTCGTGCCATATTGGAATGAGGTCGTGAACGAGAACTACGTTAAGCTAACGGCACGCTGCCGAAACAAAGCCGGAAGTATCTGCGGATTAATCCTCGTCACAGCAAAAGCCCTGCTCGTTGCTCGGGCAACGGCTGTAAAGCGGTGGCTCGTGAAGGCGGTTTTATTGTGAAACGTCCCACCGGGGCCTCGGCTTTTTATTCGCGCTACGCTAACGCTGCTGAGAGCAAGCAGGCGGAGAGGAACGGCATCTAAAAAGCGACTTGGAAAAACTACTTAGCGGTAAGGGGCCGATTTTGCGACTAAATATTCACTTGGTACGCGTTGTTGCGCACAAATTCCTGGCGATGTTTTGTGCTGGGGTGGCGCATTCGCCTTTTTTCCCGTCTCTCAAAAAGATGAGTCGGGTTCGGTCGAGTGTAAGCGCCCTTATTGCTCGTCAGCCTGCTCTTATTGCTCAAGCCGTGACGTTCAGTAACTTGACTCGGACACAGGCGGTTTTAAACCATGTGTCCGAGGAGTCCCGCACGGCTGTTACACGCTTACCCTCGTGTTTTTTAATTTATTACACGGAAATTGAGCACATTTCTCCGGCTGCCTGTGTCATGTTCCGCTCAGTGTGAAAGTTAGACCGTTGGCGCTGTAGTCTCTCTCTCTCTCTCTCTGCAAAGCCATTGCGTTGATGGCCCATCTCTCTCTCTCCCTCTCTGAATGCTGCGGTTAGTCGGAAAAAGCGGCGCAATCTTAAGCTAGTTACAGTTCAAGGACCGTGTGGAAGTGTCCATGGATGTGCCCTCGTGTAACTCCGTATATTTGTACCGTGTTTAAGTCTTGCATAATGAAGGTTGCACGACCTCATCCGATTTGTGTTACTACCACCAAGCAGGCTGCATAAACTAACTGCCCCCCCC